TGAGTGGGCTCTCTTGTTCCCAGAAGCAGCCAAGGAACGTTTAAAGGAACGATTCAGCCTGGCTCCATTCTCATCCTCAGTGACTGAAAGGAAATTATAAGTGGATAAACATCTGCAGTAGATTGAAGGGATGGTCACATTTCTACCATTTTCTTACTCGCAGAAGTTTGTTCAGTCCTTTACTATTTGGTGGGCCAAATGCCCCACTGATTATAACCCCACTTTATTTTCACATTTGATTTCAGTTTTTTACCCAAGTGAGCTAGCCTCTCTGATAGTACAGGAAAATGTGATCCTGCTTTCTTATTCTAAAACGATGATAAAAGTGAAATGGCACTGTCCAATTTGCTTGAAAGAGTCTTCAGCAATGTTTTCTCTAAATACAATGCAATTTTTACAGAGAATGATGACATTGTGTCGCATCATTCCACATGCTATTTCAATATAATCCACATTATCAATATTACCAATCAAATCAAACACCAGGTGAAAATGTAGGTGAAAAACAAATATTTTGCCTTGACGGCTATTTATTTATATTGCCAATAGTATGCATGCCTCTCTGTGGTTTAATGACATAAGGGGGAAGTTATTTCAACCACACAAAAATCAATCGGAAATAAATACTAGACAAAATACACATGTTTACTTCCATTGTTTACAAAATATGCAAGCCTTTATGTACATGTAATTCAATTACAGGATAGGTATTTCCATTGTTTACAGGGTATATTTTACACACAAGTGTAAATTTTATCTTCACATGGCTCAACATGAGCATTTTTTCACAAATGGTCATCTTGCAGTTTTCAAGGTCTGTTTCAAAATGTGGGAGTCTGAATTTCAAAATTTTGAGCCTTACTATTTTTAAGGCATTGTTAAATAATGTTAAACAACGTTCAATCTAAGATGCACTGCCCTACGTGTTATCAGTGTCTGTGATATGGTGTAATATTGAAGCTCTAAAAAAATTGCGCTTCAAAATGATCATGAAGTGCCTCAAAAAAGTAAAAATCTTTGAGTGACCAGTTTTACCATACTCATTTTTGCCAATAGACTGTAGTGTTATGAAAACCATTAGGAAAACAAATTTTCAAATTTTGATTTCCAATCATAAATATCTTGATAATCGGATCGGCTTGTAAAAGTCATGGGGTTCCTGACTGACCTATAATTATCATTGCAGCATGAGCTAAATGTAGGATTTTGCTTCAGAATCTGAAACAAAGTTACCCAATCCCTTTAACACAAAATATGCTATACCTTGTGATGATTTTGTGGATCTCACCTTTAAAGTGAGCAACGTCCTTGTAATCACCAAGGAATGTTTTTCTGAGGTAGTCCAAGTTTGGAGAGCCTTGTGTGTCAAAAGGTCTTGTGTTGGAATGCATGGTCAAGTGTTATTTCCCAGCTAGCCTGTATTGTTGGGTCATGACAATGCAGCACAATGGCCCTTGAAAGCAAGTTGGGTTTTAAGCTGTTTTCATTAGGAGTGTTGTTCAACCTAATTGGCGGAGTAAACAACTCTAGTCCATTGAACATGGACGTTTTAAGGAGAAGCAAGGAAGTGCCTTCATGTATGTGTTCTGGTTCTATTTAGTTAAATTTTCTTAGAAAATATGTAAAGTGTTGATTTCTTTCTTTTCCCCCTCTTTTTTCTGTCATTTTTGTATGCAATATCCATTTTGATATCGACTCCCCTCCCCTTCATATCCTTGTCTCCCTCTCGTTCCCTCTTTTCTCTCTCCCTCTCCTTCACCCCTCCTATGTCCTGTCCTCTTTGATATCTTCTTTTGCTATTCTTTAAAAAGAACTATCTATTCTTAAAAAATCTACCTAATCTTAAAAAAGTTACCTATTCTTACTCTTATAATCAGATTAGCCCAGTTCAGTTCATACCACATTGAACAATTATGAGTTCATTTCACAAATTGGCCTACAATGATTCTTTATAATAGATGGGGGATGAGGGTGATTTGTTCCTTAAAAAAGTTTTAAATAGTTAATATTTAAGGACGCCTACATAGTATACATGTACACATGTTAGTCCAGAATTTGGATAGTGTTTTTTCTCTTTTGTGATCGCGATCTCTCCCATCCCCATCTGCTGCAATCCGGAGATGGTAAAATCCATGAATCCGTGATGGAGATTATGAAAAATTAAATCAGCCAGATACAGGACTATACACTTTAATCTGAGGCTCATCTGAAAGAGAAATATCAGAATCATACTAGGAACTGTAAATCAAGGGACTGTCTGGACATGAAACTTTCATGAATTGTAACAGATTACCATTTTCAGGCAACAATCTTTCTCAAATTCAAAAAATTGAGTGTTATATGTCAGTTGTGATTCAGTTTCGTCATGACATGAAACTTTGATAACTCTGAACCTCTTGCGAAATTTACGAGCATTTCATGCACGTGAAAGTTTCTGGTTTGATACTAGCATAGGCCTACTTGTGTGACTCCTGAGAGTAAATTTGGGCATCTGCTCGTCTGTCACCATGATCCAGTGACTGCTTGGCTTGCTGGCCATGCCATGTATACCCACTGCTGCCCAACCACATGACCTGACCTAGTTCCTGCCTGCCATACCAGGACGGACCACTGTTTGGATTGTATGGTCTTTCTCTGTGATTGATGACAGCTATAGTCTGTATCTATTGACTGAAAACTGATTGGTCTAATCCTTTACAAGGGTCCGATGCAGTTGGATCACATAATACTCAGGATTGGCATCCGCACCGTGGCGTAGCCAAGTGCCCATTGTTTTTTTTTGTGTAGATCTACATGGACTGTAGTTGCCCCCTCCTAGTGATACATCTTAGAGATTTTGTTCCTGGTTGAAATATTCTGTAGGCTCATTTGTTTTGCCCACCCCCCCCCTCCCAAATATCTCAAATTTGGCTCTCATCAATATTTTATTTCCATCTACTCATATACAGGCCTGTAAGATTTTTAGAACATCAATCTTCAAAAATATAGTTCCTGCATAAATCAGGTCTATGTGCAGGAATGGCATGGTACCCTTCAGATCTATAGGGTGTCATTTTTACTGACATTTGTGTAATAATGTTAAAGTTTTGTGGCATTTAATTGCCTTAATTTATTTGGTGGCATAGGTTTAGTTTATGAAGGAATGCGGTATGTTGCACCTGAAACATTATCTTTCGTTGAAGTTTACTCGTTCTTGAGTAATGGCAATAACTTTTTATCGCGAATTCTACTTTTCCTGTATTAAAGAAAACAAAAACTTTCTCCATTTGTTGACTCTGTGCCAAGCTGCATGCACATTTTTTCCTCTAAAGTTTGTAAACCTGAGATAGAGCAAAGTATGTGAATGTGTGTACCCTTGCAGTGTATCCAGGGCAAAAGATTAGACCTTTGATCTCCTTTCGGTGACCCCGCGACCTCTTCCAGGCCCCCCTGACAAGGATCTTCACTAGAAACATGTAGGCCTCACATTCCTCGCCAAATTCCAGGCTCGGATTTCTACACCTTTCCGCCTGTCACAACTGAAACAGAAACAGTAATTGAATACTTCGCTTTGGAAATGTAATGTCGTCTCCTGTTGGGCACAGAGCAAGACATTGTAGAATAGTGTTGAAAAAGGTAAAATGACATGATTTTGGGACACACGGCCCGCCGACAGTGGAAATTGTGGCAGAAACGTGAATGGAATGGCAAAAGTACTACCCAACTGCCAATCAGTTATTATTGTTTGTAGTGATATGTTCTGGCTAGAAAATAAAATGTCATCAGTAATGACATGTTCATGTTTCATGTTCATCTATGCTTTAATTTTAACTACAATTACTTTTCTCTTGTGTCCTAATATTATGTCCTTATGTTACATGTACATGTACAACAAGTCTCCAGTGACTCTCTCTCTCTGTCTCTCTATCTCTCCCTCTCTGTCTCTCCGTCTGACTCTCTCAGTAGCCATCCCATTTTCCTATCAAATATGTGTCTTATATGGGCTCTGATGCCCCTCTACCAAAAGTAACATAAAACCCTTAGAAATTGATGACTTTCGAGGTGTGGTACTTGCACAACAAATTCCATGAATGCTTAACAGGCAAATTTCAGTTTATAATAAGTCATAATACTTCATAATTAGCATGTACTATGTAGCAATTTTTTGTTGTTCAGAATTCTTCTTTAAAGATATTATATCATACATGTGTATGTATATTCTTGTAGTACTGTACACAGAGAGCAATACAGTGTTTCTTTAACAAAAATTGTGAGCCTACAAATAAATGTTTTCTTTGGTGTAACAAGAATAGATGAAGGTCAATGGGAGTAGCCCTGAGACCAAAGCCACAGTGCAGTGTAGATGGAGAATAAAAATCCTGAACAATATCTGTCAAATTGGGTTTGGATACCATCGCTGAACACAATAAGGACAGTCCAGTATGGCAAAGTACATGTACTGTAGCAGACCTTAATCCTTTGAAAATACAGTCTTATTTATCCTGATTCTCCCTTCTTCTCTTCCATTTCTCCTTTCTTCCCTTTTGTTTCTTCCTTCTTCTATTCCATTTCTCCCTTATTTTCTCATCGTTACATTTATGTACAAATGTTTGTAAGTACTGAGCACAATAAGACAAGAAAAGGATGTAAATGGAGAGTTTAGATTGACCCAAATTGCTCTGAGGTCATTTACAAATTTACAAATTTACATTCTCATATATCCAATCCAGTTTAGTTAGGTTAGATTTCCAATTCTATCAGACATTACATTTTCTAAACTGATTTGTACCCAAATAATTTGTTTAGCTGTTTAAGGGGTTAGGCTCGACTAGCACATGTGTTATTATCTCGCCCCTTTTACCAACCAATAGTTTCTCTTCTGGTATATAATCATTGTATGAAATGTATGTATTGCTGTTGGTAAATAAATCAAAATTAACATTGCCCAATTTTGAGTAGTAGCCCTTAATAAAATCAGTTGTATTTTATCCTGGTTGTCTGTGATTCTTGCTTCTTTCCAGATAACAACCAAGTGGAGGATCCTCGGCTGGTGTGGAGGAAGGACCAAGAGTTCATGCTGAAGGATTACCTGCAGACCACCGGCCAGACCACCGGCCAGGACGCTCCCAGAGGCCTCACCCAGACCAACCTCCAGTCAAGACACTTGCTAGGAGACATACAGGAGCATGGATTGCATCTTAGCCAAGAAGAGGTATGGTTCATGACTTCCACAGTGTTAAATAGGGGGAGGGGGAGGGGAGAGTGGGGTAGTAATGCTTTTAGAGGGGGTGTTCTCAAGGGCCCCATCCAGACCAACATCCAATATTTTTGCTTGGAGACATCCAGGAGTATGGATTGCATCTTAGCCAGGAAGAGGTAAGGTGTATGACATCCACATTTTTAAATAGGAGGGGAGGGGGAGGCAGAAATGGGTCTAGACAAGAAATTCTTACAGGCCCTCACCCATACCAACCTCCAATACAAACTGCATCTCGTAGTTTACTCACTGTCCCATTTTACAAGAATAATAAAGGTTGTAATCCCACTCCACAAAAGGTAGTTGTCTGTCTGCCCCAGTTAGCGGCAGAAGTAGGATTGATGTTTAGTGTGTCATGTACAGACCACCGGTGAGAGAATTACCGAGAAGTTTCCCCCTGAGCATTTTGCCATCAGATCCTCTCCCACACCGACAAGGCTTTCACTTCAGAGGAGAAGAAGATCAGTGGGACTAGGCTACGTGATTGATGATAGTGTCTGTTCAGAGCCAGAAGGGCATTATTAAACTCAGTCAACTTCAAGCCATGAATTCCAAAAAGAGATGTAGTTTAAACCATGGTCTAAATTATGTCTCAAAAGCACCCCACCATGGATTGAAATGAGCGTAGATACACATGTTTTCAGAAGCATATTATTGGCCACTGGACATGAGGACACATGCATACTATATGGAGTGTTACCCCATGGAATTAAAATAAACTCATTCATGAATTTGGGCCAAAGGATATGAGATGATGCCTTCCTGGATCTAAAGAGATGATATCATTTGGTGGAAGCTAGAAGGGCATACATTGAATAACGCCCTTCAGGCTTCGGCAGACCACGGTGGGTTGATGTTAAATCTAAGGGCATGAGGAACTGTCTCACCTTCTGGTGCAGTAGTCTGAAAACTGTTCTATCTGTGATTTTATTGCAACAGCGACTGTCTTTATAACATATCGATAATAAATATTCATTAGTTATCGTTAGTGCCGCTACATGTAGGTGGCTGCTTATGAAGATACAGTAGTTCACAACAATGAAAATACACAGAATAAAATGAAATTTAAAAAAGATGTGGACAAATTTATGCTAAAATGGGTAGATCCAGAAAAGTTTGGGCTGTATTTTAGAAATTTATTAAATTTCTTTAGTACACTTAAAAGTCTTCCTCAAGTTAACCGTGAATGTACACTATCAGTTACAGGGTCTGTCGGATTAAATCTTTTTATACTCAACTAGACTCTATGCAGCTACACACTGCCAGAGTGCAGCACATTCTCTGTATGCAACCACTCCTCACCATATCTTTTCTATTCTTGTGATTCTTCTCTTTCAGATTCAAAGATCCAACGAGGCTCTTAGTGGTTGGCAGTCGCATACAAGCTGTAAGTATAATAAATTACTCCATTTTACAATTCTATCTTTCCATTTCATTTATCCCTTCAAACTTGTGACCGCTATAACCATACCTGTAGAAAATCAGATGAGTAATTATCCAAATTATATTACTGTTTTGCTCTTTAGATGGGCTACTTTTGTATTTATCTCTCAAATCTTTCTCTTTCTTGACATTCTTTTTAAATTGCTGATGAGCGATGTACTAAACTGCAAAATTGATTTGTGTCTGGATGTCTGTGGTAAGGCATTTTCATTTAAGTCGCAAAAATGTTTTAAAAATATATTGATTGATGTGGTAAACCCTCCTTTCCTTTTTTTAGTAGGTCACATTCAGCAAATTATTTCTTGAAAGTCAGATAACAATACCCTATAAAGTCAGTCATTTAAAAAAAAAAAGACAATTTCCAAATCGATGCGTATCCCCCTTTCAATCCTCTCAGTCTATTGTTCCCTTGAAGCAACTTGTAGCTTTAATAGATGATTTGTGGGGACAATTTGGAAATATGTAGTAATTCCATGCTCCAAAAATCAGAAGGATAATTAAGTGGAATATTCTCCCCATTCTCGCTCTTTGCCAACGCACAGATTTGGCGAGATAAGTCTTTTGTTGCCTTTTGTGAAGGAACTGCTATTGCCCTGAGCTATTTGATGTGATGAAAGTCGGGAGAAAGATTAAAGGCCCTGATAGCTTATTAATTCCAAGGACAAAGTCATCAACGTCTGACTGGTCTTTGTGCGATTACAACAGAAGTAGTATCATTCTCACTATTGAACAAAGGGATTTATTTTACAATTTTGAGACCATTATTCCCCTAAAATCTTATTCTCTGTGGGGAATTTAGCCATGGAAATCAGGCACATGAATAGATTAACTGGTTTTTCCAAATCTTTTGCTAGATTCTTCAAATATTTTTTGCCTGAAAGTATAAAGCTGGCAGAAGACCAACAATAGTCAGTATTTGCAATTTGCAAGGATAACCCCATTAAGAGGTGATTTACCTTCATTTTAGGTGTTGGTATTTCTTAACCGCTGTTAAACTTTGATGTAGGTATACAAAATGGTGTCGTTCAGTCACATCTGTTTATAAAGACTATATAGAGCAATCTCCATAACTCTTCTTTTTTCAATTATAAAGATTTTATTGAGGGAAAAAAAATAAAGCAAACATAGAAGGGGGTCCTTAGTAACAGGACTTGCTTGCTCTAACGAATTTGACTGTAAATAACATTTTTCCTTAGTTTGGATTCAACATTTGATGGTCATGAAGCCTAGATACAGAATCTACCACATTACAATTGATCTCCCTCCCCTTCCCCTCTCTCTCTCCCTTTCTCTCTCTCTCTCTCTCTCTCTCTCTCTCTTGATACTTTTCTTCACCCTTATTCACCATTTATATTCCTCTCATTGTTTTTAAAGTTGTTCTATTGATTTACGTTCTGCTACTATCTTTCATCAGTTTTTAAATACATGAAAATCATTAATTTTTTTGAATTAATTTCATTACTCAGTGAATTCCAACAGTTCCAGTGGAAGCACCAAGTATGACCCAGATCTCTTAAAGGCCCAGGTGGCCCATGCCAAGGCTAGGGTAGCCCAAATCAAGAATGAGCTGTTTCAGGTCCAGGCCCAGATCTTCAGCCAAGACAGAGGCGGAAGGCTGTAAGTACCATTTCAATTGAAAGTAAACTCTCCTCTGAGATTCATGCATGTACATTTATATCTACCACGTAACATGTCATTCTAAATTAAGGGGATCAGTGCAATACAGTCCTAACTCACATATAAAGGCTGTAAGAACTTCTTTTATTACATTAAAATGCAACACACCTCTGTTTATATGCATCTATACACACCTACATGTGCTGTTTCATACGGCATAGTTCGCAATAGAGATATTGCTTTGGCCCAATCTATGGCATTTTGGCATTGTGAAGCCAGGAATATTTTCTCCATGAGTGTGCCTTTTTGCACTCCTGAGCACTCATTGTCACAATGGAGCCTGAATTGATTGCCATACCTTCCCATTGATTATAACCCTCGTATGATTGTTGAGGGGGTACTCAAGTAGGAGTCAAGTGGGTGAGAGACCAAAGTCAATTGGTAATATGTTTGATCAATAGAGGGCTTTTTGTGACTTTGAGAATGGTACAATTGGTAGGTAGACTGTAGTACTGAGATTCTATACGGTATGGTAGGTTTCTAAGTGTCTCAGACTCTGTCTGTCTCTCCCCCTCTCTCTCTATCTCTCTCCCTCTCTCCCCCCCCCCCCCCCCCTCTCTCTCTCTCTAAATATATATATCTCTCTCGCTCTATTTTGCTCTCTACTTTTCCTTTGATATAATCATGTCATATTAAAATATTTTTAATACCAACAAATATTTTTAATAACAAAAAATTTTCATTTTCCAAACTTCTCATTTATCATTAAAGGTGAAGTCCAACCCTCATATTAATTTGGGTTAAATAGAAGCAGAAAAATGGAAGAAACAAATTAGTGAAAGTTCTAGAAAAATCTGATTTTAAACAAAAAGTTATGAATTTTTAAAGTTGTCATCAGTGAAACACAAATAGGTAACACTGGGGTTTTGTGTTAGGTCTTTTCCAATGTGCTCTGTACAGAAATTAATACACTTTTATTTTCTTAGCTATTGATGCTGGAATAGATTTGTTTCGTATAGGGGTTGTATAGAAACATATTTTCAATCCTTATATTTAAGGTGCATGAATGATTGAAATTTTCTATAGGGAATATAGACATTTTATTTATTTTTTAAAGTTGAGATAACACAAATTAAAGTGAAACAAGAGAGAATGTCCTTTTAATTAACAAAACAAATGTTTCTCTGTTTTCTTTCTCTTAGATCTGATCCCAGTGTACAAATACAACCACGTATGCTCAACATTAAGCCTGCTATCAGTGATCAGGAATTGCTCATGGTAAGATCATGCTTCTAACTTTATGTATTTAGACAAATCATTTCATCTACAGTTCGTTTTCTTCAACCCAGGTTTATAAGTACTGGGTAGGATTTAGTCTGTGAAAAGCTCTATGTACTTAAATGACTACCAGAGCTCAAAACTAGGGTTAGAAGTCATAGTAATATAATTTTCCATAAAGAAAGAGATCGTAATACATATGTATTTTGATATCTTGCTATTAATCAAGAAAAATAATAGAAATGTGGCAAGTTGATTTGTGATACTTACTAAAAGGTTTAAATTGGCTGTTGAGATTGTAGATCTAATTTGAGATTTGAGATGGTTTTTTCATATACTCGGTATATAGTTTTCAAGTACATGTAGCTATCAGTCAGAATGAACTGGTCATTTCTAATAACATTTCCCTCTCTCTCTCTCTCTCTCACACACACACACTCTCTTTATCCCTATACTCTGTAGTCCATGTCAAGGCTCGGGCATCGGATGTCGTCGACCTCCAGCCTGCCGACATCGTCGTCGCATCCCCAGTTGACGAGTTCATCCCAGTACGACCTGTCACAATACAAACAATCTATCAATGCACAGCAGCTGAGACAGTTCAACCAAGACCCTAACAGAAGGTAAATGATGACACCATTAAATTAAGAGAGTCCTGTTAATACTTTTGTTGCTTTTCTTCGCCCCTCTGCACATTTTGCACGAAAGAATGGGCACCAATAGACGGATTGCTTTGTACAATGCAATGGCTTTTCAAAATTACCAATTTTCAGTCTTGATTAGCTCTATGACGATCCTTTTAAAACAGGTATAGATTAATCTTACATTGAAAACAGTCACCTGTTCTAGAAGCCTTCCGTATATCTATCCTATGATAAATACATTGTGACACAGGGACATTATTTGTGTGGCATGTAAAGAGTTAATAAAGGTCTTATTTATGAAACCTTCGTTTAATACTGCATGAATTTAGGCAGCCAAAATGGAGCAGATATTACGCAAAACCCTGTGAGGCAACAAACTCCCAATCAAAAATCCTTTGGCACTGTAGTCTTGCCCTCACTGCCCAAGTAAACTCTGGTCTTTGACTGGCATTTGTAGTCACTTCTGAACCTAAAAACCTGATTAACCAACTTTCTCTCGTTAGAAGAACAAACGACACTACGTAAAGGTCACCATACAAGGGAAACAAAAATGTGGTCTTCACGGTCATGACTTTCTTGTGAATTATATGCAGTCCAGTTAATACTTTTTCAATATTTCCTTTACAGCTTGTCAATGGGTACCCTCTCGTCAAGCTCTAGCAGAGGATCGCTGGGTCCTTCAAGCAGAGGATCATTAGCCTCCAGCAAAGGCTCTCTGAACAGTGCCCTTAGTAATTCCGAACTCAACAGTATCCCAGATATGAATGACATCATTCAACAGAAGGTAGGTTTGCTTGCATGCTTTCAAATTGAAATTGTAAGGGTATTTATACTTGCTTTCAAAGAAAGTTGGTTGTCTTAAATCAACACATTTGTTTGCAATTGGAATTGATGTACATGTTTATCTACATGTGTATTTATGATTGGTTTGTCTTGCTTTTATATTGCAGGTTGATGCATTGTTACAAGGTGGTATTGAAGGCCTAGATTACCAGAGTCTATCTAACACCACTCACCATCACCAAACCTCACCACGCCCTCATCATTACTACAACCACCAGCAACACCCTCCTCAACAACAAATGCAACAGCAACACCAACAACAACAACACCAGCAACATCCTCAGCCACACCCGGCAGCCCGACAAGGGGAACCCTTTGTGCCTTCACTATCACCTAGATCATCTCTCTCCTCCAACTCGCCCCCCGCATCACCGGGCGGAGGAACAGGGAACAAACTTGGCGCCCCTGTGTCAGGAAGTGACGGACCCCACCCTGGTAGTAACGCCCCTCTCCAGTACGAAGGCCGACCTCCGACGTACCATCATCACCTCACGAACATGCAAAGACATAGCAATAGGACTGATATTATTAAACCCCCACCTGACTTGGACGGGGAACAACTGGCAGCCTACCTCTCACAATTGCAGCTGAGCATGCAGGATCCCTCGTTGGGGGTCGGAGGTCAAGGTTTACTGGGAGGGTACAGCATAGCGAGACCAGGACTCGATCTCAAGCATGCCACCTCAGAGTACAGTAGTCAGGAAGGTTATCTCAATGCGCAGCTAAGCCCTATAAGTGAAGGTGAGCAAAGATAAAGACATTTTTCACATGCAAAAAAAAAAATGTTGCTATCTTCTCTTTATTTTGTGGCATTTCCCAGAACCCTGGAATTGTTTAGATCTTCTCGTATGTAACAAAATAGACAAAAACATTTGGATTTGAAACAAAAGATAGATGAAAAATATATTCAGAGTTGAAAATTGCATTTCAAAAAAATGTGCAGTTTTTTAATGCTATTTTTGACTAGTATAATTTTAGTTATACAATTAAATCGTTTGTATTACCTGTTCTTGAGTAATTGCAACCAATTTCCCATATGTTTTTATCCACCAGGAGTAGATTTATTACCTGGTCAGTCCGTAGCGGCTCCACGAAGCGTATCAGCAGCGGTGTCTGATGAGTCCATGGCTGGAGACAGTGGGGTCTATGAGGCATCGGCTAAAAGGTACGGACGCAGAGCCTATCTTGTCGTTTTTTAGAAGTTTAGCTGTACTGAATATTACATTAAGCTCAGTTTAGTGCTTAAATGTTGTGTCAATTTGCATGTTTGAAGGTACATCACTGGATGGGAAAGTCTGGAACGATCTTTTCTTTGAGTAATTTTATGTAGGTTTCCTCATTATAGGAGAAAACATAACAGAACAAAACATCATCATGGTATGATATCATGATTTCTGCATTGAAGGGGAATGTTTAGGGTCAGAACTAATAATGCAGAGAAAATGACTCAGTCAGTACGGACATTTTTTATTTGGTGTACTCTGTACTATTTCCAGAGTAAAAGCTTTGCTTCAACATCAATTCTGTAGATTTCAAAACAATATTTTTCAAGTACAAACTTTTATGATGATCCTTGTAGCTTTTCTTTAGTACACATTGTATATTTCACATGCTGTATCTTACTCTAATATTTGTAATGTGATTAACAAGCATCTGTATTATTCCAACATTTAACTCACAATCATGAAACTAAATTTGTTTAACCCCTTCACAATTTCTCTCTCTCTTTGTCTCTCTCTGCAGGCCTGGTGAGGCAGGTGTGGAGGAAGTTTACGACCCTGCGAACTTTGACATGACCCAGATCCTGCTTGGCTGTCAGTACGACCCCCAGGACGGCTTCATAGTGATCACGCTGGATAACCTCAAGAACTTCAGGGAGCTACTACCATCTCAGAACACTCAGTTGTAAGTGAAACATATGTTGTTGTTTTTTAGAGTGCATCTTTATTTTCTGCTTGTTGAATGCTGGCGTCATGTGGGGGGGGGGGATGTTTTAAGCAATTTTTCCTAGTTTCATCAAGGGTAACAACAAGCCATGCTTTGATAATATTTTCCAAAAGGACTTTACTCTATCTAGGATGATTTATTCCATCTCTCTTCTTTTTTCTCACCCAGTTTCATCAAGGGTAACATCCAGCCCTGCCCTCCCAACTCCAACCTGAGCTTCCAGACCCCGCCCCTACAGCACATGGGTGCTATCACCATCTCCCTGGGTCACAAGGTCACCGTTCCTATCAAGGATACCGAGCTTCATGCCCTCACCTTACAGATATACATCTGCTTCTGTAATCCAGATGGGCTGGAAGATTGTCTGGTGAGTGTCATTTTCAAATAAATCACAAATGCCACAAATGTCATTCCAAATGGACAAAGCAAGATCTTCATTTGTATAGAATGAAATAATTATATTTGTTGATTACTTATTGGCAGAATTATATCCTGTTTCTTTACTTGCTTCTACAGTCAAACAGCTTTATGAATATAAACCCTGGGCTTAGGAAATGAAACAATTATTTATAGTCAGATGGTCTTTGCAAGCACTTCTCTTGATTGAAGTTTCAGTGGGAAACACTATTTCAGCAGAACAATTGTCTTATAGACAAGTGGTTGCTTAACCGTTTTTTTCTTTTAAGAAAGAACCCAAGTAACGATCTTCCTAAATGATAGAGTTGAACTTTTTGTTATCTGTCTCAAAGTTTTCATTTTTATAATATGTTGATAACAATCTATTTGACGTTTCCCTTCACTAGGCTGGGACTCAGATCAGTCTCCTAGATGCCTGCTTGCTGAACCCTGCAGCTCCTAGATGGTACACCTTACTCAACTTCACCCAGCCAGCTTACCCCCAGCATGATGTAGATACAAGCAGCGAGGGAACAGCCACCTGCACCAGTACTCTGGAGAGATCCAGTCAGGTAAATATTAAAGCCATTGGTAGATATCCCAGCTTCGTTATTAGCCAATCAGATTTCAGCCTTTTCCAATTGAATGCAGTAGGATTGATGCAGATTGGCTAGTAACTTGGCAAATGCTATCCACTTTCATTTTAATGATCTCAGCAAATTAGAAGTGATTGCACGAGAAGCACTCCTGATTTGCTGTATTGGAAAAACTTGTTGAATGCATTCTTGTTTCAACTGGCTGATATCATCCAATCAGGTTTCAATTCCTAATAATTGACTGCTGGAGAATCAGTCCTGATAGGCAAACAGCGGTATCTTGTTCCAGAAACTTGGTCAAAGAGAAATGTCATTAAGTTTTTGTTTAGAATATATGATCTAAGATGATGAATGTTTGCTTGCCACAAAAATTTAGTTCACCTTTTCCTATCTTGGCACGCAATCTGTTGATTTTTTGAAAACTGATATTACATGTATAAGATAAGCGTGTTCATGGATGTATTTTTTAATTTTTCTACACGTATGACTACATTTGTTTGTACATGTACATTCCTTGGTACTGTCTGTGACAACTGTCAATGAAATTGATTTTTTACATGTATATAATGTCCTTTTCTTTTTTCATTTATTTGCAGACTCCTAGTCATATGTCAGACATATTTGATACAGCGCTTCCCATTGAATCAAGGTATGTGCATACTGTTATCTACAAATGTTTGATATATCGTTGTCTGTGTATTCTTTGTCATCCAAATATGCCTTTATTGTGTTTAACCATTTCGCCTTTGCTATCTCTGTACTTTGTACTTTAGGGGTCATGATAGCTTGAATAGGCAATTCAATAAGCTCAGGAATGTGGGACTTGTATTGAAGCAATTAAAAATTAAATCCTTATATGGCAAGCATTTGCCTTCAAGCATTCATTTCTATGTACAAATAAAGGAAAAGGGGCATATGTCAGAAGCACTGTTTTTAATCTTTGATTGAAAACATTGTGCAGGTGGGCCATACTTACATATTATTCTGTTCATTTGAACTAGTGAAACAGTACATGGGAGAGGTTTTAGCATTAAGAAATGTTTTATGTGTCATTACAAAAAAAATGTAATGCTCATAGGAAGGGGATGCAGAAGCTTGACAGTCATTCATTTATTTCTGTGACATTGTCATGCAGGTTACGTTCAACGTCTCTGGACAGTTCCCTCTTCACCTACCGTCACCCACCACCTGCTAGCCAAGTGCCTCCGGTACCGACGGACAATGCACCCCTCCCTCACTCATCACCTATACCCTACCACCATGCTCCACCCCACTCCACCTCGGTGACAGGGTACCTACCGCCCCCCACCACCACCTCCTCCATCCACCCCTCACCCATGGAGGCCGGTGGTGGGAGAGGAGGCGGAGACCCCGGTGCTACCGAAGACTCCATCTCGCAGATGACCAACGGGTACCTGGACACTGTGACGTCCAAGGATCTGGACGACTTCAGTGATGTTCCAGGACCAGGTATCACCAGGTCCAAAACCTTTGGAGGCGGATCTTCAACTGGGATGGCAAGACCTACAATGCCGAAGGTAATTTTTTTTCTTCCCTTTCATATTTCTTTTTTTGTTTATGTGCTTCAGATGAGGTGTTCATACATTCAATATAATGATAAACTATAATTGAAATAGCAAATACCTGTAATATTGTTGTTACAAAGACACTATTTTTATCTCCGGAGGTATGCTTTTTTTTTCTTACATACATTGTATTAGTACATTCATCAGTTAATTTCTGACAAAACTGTTCATTTTCAATCAACTATGATTCTACATGTACCTTAATTTTGATATATTTTTCTTCAAACCTTCATGTTTTGCAGCAACTTAGATTTAATATGTCATTACAAAAGGTATTATTTTGTTGTGGAGTTCCTTTTATAATGGTCTCTTTCATTTGTTTTATCAGCTGAATCGCAGTGAAAGTGATGGTGCTATGATGACTCCAAGAATGGGTCCATTCAAGAGGAATTCACTGGAGCGTAAAAGTTTAAGATTTAAAAAGGTAAGAATGTATTTCATTTTATCCATAAATATGCCACAGCATGCAAGATACATGTACCATGCCTATTACATGTCTAAATGTACTTAAGCTGCACTAGCATTGCTGAAATTAAGCTGATCTGACACTCGCAAAGTAAACAGCAATACTTAAACCTCAACATTTTGAAACAACATACACGTTATCGATCTCAACACTTGCAAATGGCTAATAAACATTGTTAGAATTCAGTTATTATGTAACTTGAAACTTTTGCAAATCTGGACCATTCAATGAATTTGAAATGTTCTTGTCTTACATTATCAATGTGGTATTAAAGCATATTAATGCCCCCCCCCCCCTGCCAAAAAAAAAGAAGAAATGACCCTTTCTCTGACCAACACATTATGTTACTTTGAACTTGTTAGGTGCAAAGTCAGGGCAGCAGCCGGAGGTCATCTGAGTCGCGGTCATCGACCAAGGCTACGAGGATGGAGATAAAAGCACTCGAGACACAGGAGGCGCAACTCAAAGATGATCTCCTGAGGTATAGAGAGATCAAGAGACAGATGGAAGAAGTTCAGCTGAAAGGTTGGTTTTATTTCCTATCAACTTTGTGTTTAAAGGTTCTAATATTTTATAGATCTATCCTAAAAAGTTTTTGGAAAGTTTGAAGCTGAGAGAAATTTACCTCCTTTTCTCTTATGTTTTTTATATGCCAATTAAAAAACAAGATTTTGAAAACATAATTATGAACAAAATGCATTTTAATTATGAGAAATAGTATATGTGGCATGTTATTTTTATTGTCATTCATAACATTGAACTGACATTGAGGCATCCCATTTTGAAGTTCAATAGTGTCTCATCAGATATTTGTTCATCTATTCACCTTCTCAAACACAACTTTTGCCACTCATCCCCCCTTTTTTTTGTCATCATTGATTGTGCAGGTAATCAGAGGTCTCAATCCCGCAAGCCTGACAGCGACATCCTCAAGAAACTTCTGGACAGTGCAGAGCAGGAGGCACTGCGGAAGCAGCATCTAAGAGACGCAGCAGAACAAAGGCTACCGGCTGAGACCACATCAATACCTCAAGCAGATCTTATGTTAGGCAATGGCACCACAACCATGTCTACAGAGTAAGTATCTTTTCAATCCTATCACGAGTATATGACCATGTCTAGCCTATGGCAGTGAAACTAGGGGTTCTTGTTCTTATGTTGCTTCTTTGTGGTTTGATAGATCAGTGATGACAACTACATTTTTTTTCATCATTATTTTGTTTACTAAATGGAAACAATTTCAAGGCAAAGATGGCTTCAAACATCATTAGCCGTTAGGGTGGAGCACAAGTAATCTTTAAGATGTGTATGTGTGTGTGTGTGTGTGCAAAATATTAATACTCACTCACTCTCTCTCTCTCTCTTCATCTCTGTTCTTCCCTAATAAAGGAAGGAGGTCCTAACATCAGAACTGTGAGCCTGCTGAGAAAGGAAGATCTTCTAAGGATCTAAAAATATCTCGCAAGGCAGCTGTTACCAGCCTTGTCCTAACTGCAAAGGAACTGAGATGCTACCTGTGTGACAGGTAACGCTTGTGCCGGTCCTTGGGTCAGAGAGTCTACCTTCAAATGTGATGTCGGTAGCCAGCACCTCCTTCTAGGATCCTTCACCACAAGACAGCTAATAGCAGCCTCATCCGACTCCGCACAGAGTCCAAGATACACCAGTACAGCCTGCAAGGCAGACAGCACTTGTGCTGGTCCTTAGTCAGATGGTGTGCCCTTAGATTTGCTGTTGAAAGTCGGGGACCCGTTTCACAAAGCCTTTTTTCAATGACAAATTCCAAAAATCAGTGACAAATCTGCTGATAACCAATCAGAAGCAAGGATTTCAGTAGCTTATAACAACAACTGTCATTTGTCACTGATGACAAGTTCTGTGAAACGTCCCCCAGGTCCCCAATAGATCTTTCAGTTCAAGCCAGCTGCTATTGGCGACATCCTGACTCCACACAGAAGCAGAGATACATCAGCCTCATCTCAACCCTGCAACAGAAGCAGATAAATGAGATGCAAGACAGACAGTACTTGCGCTGATCTTCGGTCAACTTGGCCGACAGGAGATAGGTCAGGATGGCATTTCTCATGGTGAATCACAGTATGTCCTCCACTTGATCCGCTCAACTCACTCCAACTCGGCTCTGCTACTATCCAAGAGCCATGCTCTGAAATCCGTCTGGAAAATCTTTGGAGCAACGAAATATTGTTCCAGGTGAAGAAACGATGTTGGTGTTGTAACAAACTTATATGGGAGCATCACAGAATGTACATGATGACTGGTCATTGCTACATGTATTCATATGAACAAGATATCAACCAGAATTGATGAGATCATATCAAATCTCATGCAAATGCTATGTTGCATATCAAGCTGAAATTCCTTTGGTATTCACTGGAATTAAATTCTAGCTATTCATAATATATGCATATATTGATAAAGGCTTTTATAATTGCAAACTTAATATACCACATTCAAAACAACCAGGAAGTTCATTCTTTGTTTGTGTTTCACAGTATGGTAGAGTTTGAGAGTGAGAGAAAGAGATGGTGAGAAATGACGATAATATTTTTTTCCTTCAAAACTATCTTCTGCAATATTAGAATTAGATCACGGCATTCAGTGCATCATAATGCTTTGTAATGCTTCTTTTTCCTTTTGTTCATCAGAATGATTTTTTCGTTGTATAGCTTTCATTTAAATTTGCTTTTTCCATTCCAATTCATTCATTTCTATCTGTCACAATTTGAGTTCAATCTGATAAAAGCTGCCTTAAAATAGCTTCTGCTTCATGAATTCCATGCAAATCGGACGTTTGTCTGTATATGTGCTGCTATTCAACAACATTCTCATATTATGTTCCGTCTTTCCTGCTTTTCATGACAAATGTCGCATTTTGTGTAGCTTGTAAGAGAAGACTGATAAGATGCTTGGCATTACAATTGCAAAGAAGCTAATTTTGCACGTATAATTGATAATTACAAATAGTCAATTTTCTGTTCCAAGGCCAGCAAGGTGTAAACTTTGTGTTAAAGTATATGAGTTCACATCCCTCTGGCTCGCAACAGAAAATATGGAAATTGGTTGAAAAATTGGAAGATTTATCCTGTTGTAATAATTTGGTAGAATTAGCTAAATTGAAACAATTTGATTATCTCATCAGACATGTTCAGATGAGTGTAAAAAAAGTTAAAAAATGACATGTTCGAGAATGAACACAAAAAATCAGATCAAGTGAAATCTAATTAAAAATTTCCTGACAATCGAGTCTCAAAAATATGCTGAATGTATTTCAATCAAGAGTGTATTTGGAGGGTGCATTACCATTGCGAACTTGCTCCTTTGCGACACTCTTTCATAACAGTATTCAAGTCAGAAAGTGCATTATATCAATTGATTTGTTGGTAATTGTACAGAACAGAAGGTGTATGCATTTGTATTCATCTCTTACCAGAGTTCTAAAGGTTTGACATAGCTGTGCATATTTATTCTGTGTTTGTGACACGCATAATGAGCTCTTATTTGTACAGTGTCTTGCAAGTTTGCAACTCTATTCATTCATTGGTTTTGTAGAATAATCTAGAGGAGTGATTTACTGAATTACACATGTATCTGTACTTTGTATTAACATTGTTTCAATGTAAGCCAAGATATATAGAATACCAGTATTATGTATATCCATCTGACTCGTGCGTAAGTAGAATATATCGCAGTTTCACTCTCAAAAAGGGGCATTTCTGTTACCAGTACTAACTGTATGTCATCCAATTAGAGATATTCTCTTTCCGTTGTTGTCCAGAGGCCAGGGACGCATATGAATATTCATGGTTAATGAAACTTGATCAGAACAGATGTAGCAAGCTGGTCCTGTCAGCATAATGTTAACATGAATATCATCACCTTGCTACTAAAAGGGCATTGCAGTCATTGGCAATACATAACAGCAGTGTCTATTTTGCAGGGAGCCAACGATTATTGTTTTACCATCTGAATTTTAAATGTTCTTGTGACTTGACGACGGACAATAACCTAGCATATTCCATGTATTATAGATCTACATTCTTGTATACCCCATACCCAGCAGTTAATAGATGTAGCTACATACCCCTACAAGGCCCTCAACTACAAGCCTTGGCAATTGTTACCGACTTGACAAGTGCCCGTCAAAATGAGTACTTTGTTTTGATCGTTCTCTTTGTGAAATGATCCTACATAAGAAAAATTGTCCGAGGGGGTTCTTATCGGAGGGAAAATTGTCTAAGTAGTATTTATGCTACATGTACATGTAGATGCATTGTTGTCCAGATGGCAGTTTGGCAGGATGGGAGGGAGGGTATGGGTGTTCAACATTGTGGGTTCTCTGCAGATATGCTCTACCAGGGTACCATATTATATGACCAATGCTGCAGATTGTTCCTATAATTTTCTTTCAGTGAAATAGCTGCTGATCAAGCCTTTTGCATCTGCTGCACTTGCATTTGAATAGGCAAATTGAATGAGAATCACCAAGATTGTGACCTCTGAAGATCTGATCAGCAAGAGGTCATATTCATATTCATCTCCTGGAGAAAATATCCATGTAAATCAATACAGTCAATGAAATTGTCACCAATTCAAAACGTTTGTAGTTTGAGGTTGAAAATGGGCTACGTTGTATTAATAGGACCATGATTTTAAATCTAATATAAAATCTTTGAGTGGGAAGATCGAATTTGTGGTATAATTATTTCAACTACTGATGCAGATCACGGTCTAGAGTATATAGTGGTCTGCGGATGCTATACTCGTACATTTTGAATTATGGAAATGTCATATGTCCTAAAATGTATCTCATTAAATTGTATTGCTCAGTTGAGGCATTGTCTGTAGAGGTTGGTTCATGCATGTTTCCCAATCTGTGGTTCTAACACGTGAAACCTGCTTTCGTGAAAACCTGTATACGAAGACCACTTGTCTATAAAGACCACATTTTATGTTTCCCTTGCATAGTGTTTCTCATAGAAATGTGTACTAAGGGAACCTGTCCATAAAGACCACTTGCCTACAAAGGTCTTTATATTCAGGTTTGACTGCAGCATTTCTTAACGTCCTTCATGTACTTCTACTTATGTAGGTTGCAGTCTCAAACAATATGTGAAATTGTTTATGCTAAATCTATCTGTGTCCTTTGAAGTACAATGTACATGGTCATGTAGAAAGTTGTATATGTTTGTGTCTTGATGCTACGCGAATGGTCGGAAAAATGCTGTACTAGGCTTTCAAAATCATTTATCTTTTATACAATTTATGTGTATATACTGTTGAATAACAAAGAGACTTTGGTGTCTTGTCATGTACAGATATTTATATATATATCATTCAAATTTTCATATGTATTTTTATATCATGATCAGTCTTTTTTAATTGTTGATATGTACTGTCATGTATGATTGTACTTTGTAAAAATGTTGACTGTTATTTACTTACTCCATATCTCTCTTTTATAAAGAGAATTTGTCATTAGATATGAAACTACTAAAAATTTGCTAAATACCAGAATCTCGCTTTATGAAGAGGGATATCTAAATGTAGGCCACCAACTTAAATTGTTTCACAAGTAATTTGTGACCAGCAAGAGAGTTTGGACAGTGAGATTTTGGATGTGTGGATAGAAAGTTAAAGCGATGAATTGGTATGAGGGGTGAATTATGATTGCTTCTTGACAAATTTAATGTTGGCTTACACTGGCTGGACCAAACAAAGCAAAAGTTTTGTTAAAAATTGTTCTTATGTTTGTTTTGTCTTAGTCTGTTTTCATACAAATGACATAAATATTATCTGTACAGAATTTAATGTTTCCAAATACTGTTTATAACAGATGTACAAAGAATAAAATGCTGAATAACTGTTAAAAATAAAAATACAATTGTATGAATCATTTATTGAGCCTTTGTCATATGAGAAATGTAAGACATGAGCATGTTGTTTCAAAGTTCATAAATTTATTTTTTCTTAAAGAATATAATGAAATCAATCAATTTGTGTATAGAATAAGAATGATCTATCTAAGAATCACAATTTAGACACATGAAAATAATGCATACGATGCATCAACCTCTGGAAAGAGTGAAATAATGCTGGCAACACAGTTTCTTGTGAATAGGCCTTTAAATGCATTATTAGTATGACAGTGACTGGTTAAGTGAAAAAATCTTGATTGAAGATGCAATTGATAACACCAATCAACCCCCCCCCCCCTGCCCACTCCCCCAACTCACACCAATGAGAACGATTGAAACGTAGGTTATTTTTAATATTTTTTTTGAGATTGAAGCATACAGTCACATAGTTAAATGTATTGTCTGGGTTGCTTGCATCTTAAACAGAATACAAAGGCCTAGATTTCACTCAGATATGGATAATAGTTTTCATGATTAAACATTGGTTTTTCCCACCATATTATAGTCTTCTGATGAACAACAAGAAGTTGAAAATAAACTGAAAATGTAAAAAGTAATATGTAATATGGCTAAAAATTGCAAGGAAATGAGTTTAAATTTCATCATTTTGCACCCTGACTTCAATACCAATGTGCATGGCCATAACCATTCTAATTTCCTTCAACTCAGTGGCAATTTTTTGATTGGTTTCCAGTGATAGCGAATATCTGTACTGTTGAGAAGTACGTCTCTTCTTAGGGGGCGATGTAATTGGGTCATCATCATTTGGTTGGTCCGGACGCATTGTTTAAGCTCCTCACTTGGCCTTCTATTACTTCTGCTTGTGGCTTAACCCCCAAAACGGTCGGAATGATAAATATTAACAATTCTGATAAACTTGTAGTCAGTGTGATGTATTTATTAGTGTTATTTACAAAAGTTAAATTAGTACAATATCAGCAGACTTTACATGTAGCATTATTGTACTTATGACACTATGTAATTGTACAAGGATAATATTTTTTGAAATTCTTTTTAAACTTTCTTGTGCACAACACCATAGTAAGTTGTATTAGTAAGAGAGAGAGAGAGAGATATATACAAAGAGAGATAAAAACAGACAAATATAGATAGAGAGAGAGAGAGAGGGGGGGGGGGATATAAGCTAGATCAAGTTAACTTAATTTTAATTGTTAAAACTTTAATCCTAACAAAATCCTAGGAAATTTAGGAGACTGGTGGGGCGTTGGCCTGGCGTTGCAAGATAGTTGAGTTGCAATCGATTGCAAATTTTGCAACTGTAGTCTGTACTTGCAACCAATCGCAACTTGCAACTTTGAACAGGTGTTTAAGTTATTCAAGCACGAACGCTGAAACAATTTTCTTGTAAGGGAATTTCTATTCAAAAAGAAGTTTGTCAAGTAAATCTCAGTGAAGCTGACAATCTTTAGGGGAACATCGACATTGAAGTGATCCCAAGAAAAGTGCGGTAAGTAAAGATCCTTTTTGTGTGAAGATATCTGTATATAGTATTGCATGATTGTGATGTGTTGATCGTGGCAGTCACCGGGGCAGTCGCCCAGTGGCAGTGCATGCAGTGCAGTGTCAGTGGGCTCTCTTTATTGTCACAACGTTATTATATATTACTGTATTTTGTCTGACCAACGAATATTGACCGATTGAATAAACTCTAGATTTAGTCGTTTACCATATATTATTTTATTTAGACAACTTTCATACTTTTAAAGTTCAGTACATAGTCTAGCTTGATTGACAATTAGCAGTGGTAGATGTAGACATGTAGTACCCGGTATGTATGCCTACACTGCTGTAGACGTGTTAGCCTGGCGATGTGCCATAGTTCGCGCGTGACCATAGTTCGTTTTCTCAAAAAAATTGGTTAGATTTTGGAAATCTGATATCACAAATGGAAAGAGGAACATACAATTACCCATAGACAGAATTTTCTCAGGAATCGGGTGTGAAATTATGAAAATATTGACAAAAGATCGGCAAATTGTGCAGTCATTTGCGTCCGTTCCGACAAATTACTAGTGACCAATAAAGCCAGGTCTGGAAATCTTCATTTTAAGAGCAGATTTCCTCAACATTGTAAGTGAGAAGTGGTACCGACTGATTGTAAAATATGTTGCCTTTCAAATTATAAAATTACCTTATTTTGGATGGATCGCATTTTTTGATAAATCGCTGTGTAAACCCCGTGCGCGAATTAGTAAGGTCTCGTTGTTTTTTTTTTTTACTTTTTTAGTTGCAGCATACTAAGCACGCACACGCGCCGATCGGACATCGAATATTTAGATCGCGATATCTCAGGAATCCTTCGACGATAAATTTTCTAGTTGAACCAATTTGTAGTAAAAAACTATGACGTCCATTTGGTAACAATTGAAATAAATAAAATTCGTTAAGAATATGAGAAATCATAGATCGAATATCACATTTTCTAATATTTTCAAAATCTCCGCGAACGTTTAATTGGGACTTTTCGATTTGCACGTCGACATAGTGGAATGCTACGTGTGACGTCCTTTTAAGAATTAAGATAATGATGGTATGGTGGTGAAGATGATGTTAGGGATGTTATGATGATGAATAGTGATTGGGGCCTTATGTTGATTCTGATGATTAACGGTGATGATGATGAACATGATACTAGTAGTGCAAAAGTAGTAGTACAAGAAGGTAAAATGGTAGTATTAGAAGAAGTAATATATAATATGATACATTATATATATATATGTATATGAAATATAAAATTACTGTTTTTGTCAGAATCGAATTCAAAAGAAAGGTTTGACATGAGATGGCGCTGTTTTTTTTTTACCAGAGAGATTCACAGATCAGAGCCATTACACACACATAGTTTTGACAACCAGTTGGTTTTGTTTTGTAAAACAGAGCAAGGGAAACTTCAAAACGAAAATATATAATTTTTAGACATTGGTATATACCTTTACATTGTCATGATTGTGCTTACATTATCAGGAGGAGGGGGGGGGGGGATTCAATATTTGTTTCTCTCTTTACATGGTCCAAGATACTGTTAAAGCACCATACTTTGTAGTTCGGTGTGATTGTGTGGATATCAAGAACATTCATGTTTTAAGATTTGTGAGGTCGCAGTTCGAAAAAAAGGTTTTAAGCATAATCTCATCATAAAAGACTGAAAATAAATTTCATCAGTAACATAATTATACAAATTACAAAAGAGCGCATGTTAAAGTACGCCTCGAATCTGAGAAGGGGCACTCAACAGATATGAAAAAAGGCACTTATGAGAATGTAAAAGGGACATTTAGGGCAAGGGAAAAAGGACAAATGTATTTAAATAGGGGCACTTATCAGAGGTGAAAAAGTGGCATTTAAGAGAAAGAAAAGGAGCCTTTATCAAAAAAAGAAATGGGCACTTATCATAAATAAAAAGGGAACTCGTATGATAAGGAAGGGAAATTGACGTGTCAAAGGAAAAGGGGGAAATCATGAGAGGTGAAAAGGATCATTTCTCGCACTTGAAAGAGGCACGGCTCACCAAAAAATTAAAGGGCCACTTATTATAAAGGAAAATGGTTATTTATTGAAAGAAAGGGGCATTTAACAGATTGTAATAGTGGCTTTTATCAGAGACGAAAATGGGCATTTATGAGAAAGGATACAGGTTCTTGTGGGGAAATAAATGGGGAGGGGGCACTTATTATATAAATAAAAAATTTCTGATTGTCAAATTAATTTTGATGTGTAATGCGTAGGCCCTACAAGGAGAACTGTATAAATTTGTCTGCACAAAATAAAATAATTCAATTTTCCCACTTATGGCATAACCACGTGTTCTAAATTTTGTTAGGGGCGGTATACTTTCACTTGTTAATAATATATCCCACCGTGAATAAATATCTGTTCCAGCATTATTTAACAATTCTGAAAAATCGACACATTTCGAGTAATCTTGTGCAAATATCAAATGGAGTTATCCTCGCAATATGTGACATGCGTTACGCGTGTGACAATGCCAGTTGGACATTTCCAATCTAATTACATAATGATCTCGATTTTCAAAAATGTATAACTTTGTCATTCATTCCATTTCCGATTTGTCTCGTACTTGCACCAATCTCCATTAAAAATACTTTTATATCCATCTCTCGAGACAGTTTTCTTTAAACTCTAAAGGATTCATTTCTTAATTAATAGCTAGTAATCTCTCAATTTCAATAACTTCTCGCTTCCCTCCTCTCCCAGTCTCTCTTGCTTTAATATCCCTCGTTATACTTCATTCCAATTGAGCTCCCTCTTGATTTCTCCAGATCTCCACATATTCCAGTTCATGCACTGTATCTATTCTTCAACTAGTCATGTAGATGCAACTATGACTCAAATCAATCATACAAATCACACTCAGGATACTACAAATTGACGATAATTGATTTACTCTTTATTTTACATGTATCCTTAATATATGAATTGACAATGGCCATGATGATGATATGTCCAGAAAATATGATGATGTGTTTGTTAAAATTGCGATACCATGGTGTATTTTCTTAGTTTAAACAAAAATAATCATATTGTATGTATTAGAGTAAGCTCATGCCTTTATATACCACAGTAAAAATGAATATTTTATATTTGATGCAGAATAATATTAACATTTCAAGATTAGAAACACAAACGTGTTCCATAAACATTCAGGTGTTCCATAAACATTCAAGTGTTCCAAGAAAAACTAAAACAACCTTTGTACTTAATATAAATTTAGTACCTCTAATCTAATCAATTTTTGCAATGTAATCAAGTAACGATGCCAGTTATACACCTATAACACCGACATGGAATAGCAGAAATGATGTGCTATTAATATCGTTTTTGCAGTTATGATTCTTTTTTTTTTAAGTTGAAGAAAGCCTATTTCATGCATATGGCAAGTAGACCCCACTTATTATTGCTCAATGCCCAAAGCGTATTATATCTCGCGCTCGAGCTATAGCTTTTGCTCTCCCAATCCAGTCTTGACTCTTCGCGAGCGGTTTCATTAGAATTAATCGTAAAATTCCCTTCGCTTGCGTGTAAATAAAAAATACACGTCCGGGACTAATTAGTACTCTCCGATCTCTTTCTCTCCCTTACATGCTGAACGTTTATTCTAATACTGTATGATACTACTTAGGATAATCCTGTCATTTGTACTCTGTAATAATAATGATAACATTCGGTTGTTGTATAGCACATATCACATATCATATGAAACATCTCTATGCGCTTCCAAATTTGGAAATTATTACCCCAGCTTGAGCATGATTGCCATTTACGGCACTCTGGCAATTCAAGGAATTAATTCCTGCCAGGTACCCATTTACCTCACCTGGGTCGAGTAGATTAATGTCTTGCCAAAAGATATTAGTGCCGCAGCGGGACTCGAACCGCGGACCTTGTGATCCACAGTCCGGTGACATATTCACCTACCACGACACCTCTGTAATAATTATTTCATATTTTTGTTTAATTTCTTACTTTAAACAACGACCCCATGACACCTAAAACTACTACTTTGTATAAACATGTAACAATAATTATATAAAGAGGTAAATTTGTATATATGAAAATGAGTGAAAAGTGATATATCAGTTGAAAAGAGATTTAAAATCTGTTACAAATTATAAAAATGTGTAAAAAAATATCTCCGGGGTCTACTCCACTATCCCCTAATTGCATCGTGTACGTCATGACAACGTTCTTAATTATTCATCAGTCGTGTAGATAAGTGCAGCAATCAAACCGATGACCATCACGCACAGGTTTACCTGAAGGATTCCCGCTGCAAAAATTTAATAAAATAACAATAAAGCTATTTAATAACAATTTGGTTTTATGTAGTGCACATGATAACACATTGTCTAAACACTGTTCACCCTGAGGGCGCTGCAGTTATTAATACCCCCCCCCCCCACTCCTAGGTACCATCTAGGTCCAGAGAGACACATTTAATGTGGGTGGAACACTTAGCCCAATTAGGATGAACATGATAAGCAAGGATCGAATGAGAGTCAAGAGCCTTTTCCAGTATACCAGTGTCATACATCATAATGTAAACTCAATTAAAATCAACCATGGGTTAAAAAAAAAATCCAGGCATTTTGGTCATATGCACAAATTTTACCGTTCTACCGTTACATAATACATTCAACAAAGGAACCTTGTATATTCTACTATACATTTGGAAATTAAAACAAAAATACAATTTTGATGAAATGCTCAAAATAAATGAAAATCGAGACAGACGTTATTTGGAAATGTTTGATGTCCAATCTATATGAGAGATCCTCAATCTGCTATTCATTAAATTCCTGTTTCATTCTATTCTATTCCATTATTTTCTAAATACTATTCTAGTTAATTTTATCTATTCTATTCTATATTCTTTTCCATCCTAAATAATCTTCATTTCCCTTCCCTTCCTTTCCCTTCCCTTCACTTCCTTTTCCTTCCCTGCCCTTCCCTTCCATCTATTTTTTTCCTGAGTACTATTATATTCTTTTCCGAACATAAAACAAGGCCCAGAGATAAGTGGCCTTCTATACTCACGGTTCTAGGACACCTACCCCCTGGACATCCACCCCCGGATAACCACCCCCAGTCAACTACCTCCAGGATAACTACCCCCTAGGACAACTACCCCCTAGGGTAACCACCCTCTAGGACGACTACACCGCGGGACAACTACCCCCCGAACAACTACCTCCCAGGCAACTACCCCCTAAGAAAACTACCCCCAGACAACTACCCCTGGACAACCATCCTATAGGACAACAACCCCTCGGACAACTATCCTAGGGGTAGTGTCCGTGGGTAGGGGGGGGGGGGTAGTTGAACGGATACGATACTCACCGTTGCCTGTGGTGCCTTCTGCAATGATTGATGAAGCCATGTTGACGTAGAATGTTGAATGACCAAGGGCTACGGAACCTCTACAATAGTTTTTTTCAGACAACGAATAGAAAGTTACATTATTATCTACCGTAATCAAGTCAAGCAGAATTATCAGTTGATATATGCAATTTAAATTAGTTTTGTTTTCTTCTATGATACTTTCCATGTTAGTGTTCTTTTCGTTGGACTAGCTTGTTACGGCCTTTAATTGGTTGGGTGGAGAGGGAGGGGGTCACATGTGGATATTGCCAATATGTCAGAGAATACACACTTGTCAGTAGGAAAATATTGCCAAAGACAACCTACCAACTGGTTCTCCCACCAAATACAGAATGCGAGGGCAGTGATCGGTTGCTCTTTCAGTAATAATAGAAATCTATAGAAACGCTAAACTTAAGAATTTTCCCAATTTATAGATGCTTAAAAAACCGTGACGAGAATAAAATATATGATGAAAACAAATTAATGAATAGAGATCTATTTTCCAAAGTTACCTGCTATGACCATGACCATGATTTGACTTTTCACAAACATGTTTTTTACAAAGAAATATTGCTTTGTTGGATGAAGCAGGCTAAGGAATGTCAGAAGAACAACAATCAAACAAATATGATGAAAATCAATAAAAGAAATTAATCATTATTAAGCAAAGTTACAAAAAGAAAAAAAATACATTCTTTGTTTAAAGTATAATGCTTGCATTTCCATAATTTGATTTTAATCAGCCATGCATGAAGTCTTTCGTCTATGGCTGATCGTCAACGAAACGGAGTTGAGTCTTTTGTCAATTCTGTGTGTTGCTACGGCAGGCAACTAGTGAAAATTAATTCGTTTCAATCAAATTATGAAAATGCAAGCATTACTTTAAACAAACAGAACTTTGTTATTCCTTGCTCATTTTTCCTGATTGAGATGCCATATGAAAGGTCAGAAAATGAACTTTCTAGAAACGTGATTTTCGCTTTGAAATTCAGATACCGTACACCAAATGACTTTTTGGTTCCCTCTCTTCAAATTGATTTAATCGCTCATACGTGAAATATGCATCATAATGAGTTGCATCAAATGAAAGAGATGGATCTAAGCTTTACAAATATGTTTCATTTATTAATCATAATTGTGATTAAGTTATGATAAAACATCGATAATTCTCGGTTTAGTTTTTTTCTGGGACGCACTGTATATCAAACGTTAGGAAGTGTATCTGATACAGTTATGCAGTCGAGTACTGTAGAAGCCTATTGATAAACAACCTTGTAACAGGTGAATACAAATTTGTTTAGAAGAATAGGCCATTTTCAAAATGTATTCAACTGTATACACGCTTTTTAGTGGACCCCTCTGTTTCCAACACGTATTTCTTAAATTTGTTTTAAATGCTTATAATTGATTTGTAATGTTTTATTGGAAACATGAATAAATTTGAATTTGAATTTCAATTTAAACTACCGACGAGCTATGGCATTCACCAGTTGTATCTTATTTTATCTCCACAAGTCAAAGTCAAATTTTAAGCACTACTCACATAAATATGATGTCTCCTACGCCTTCCTCGGGAGCGGTCCAGAGGAATGACAGAGCCTCTTTCTCCTCCTTGCCGGTGTGGGTCACGGAGTCATCTACTGTCCCGGTACACTGGACTGGCTTGGTGAGGGCCGGTAGGTCCGAGAAGACACCAAGAGTTTTGTTGCTGTTGAAGGCCCGAGCCTGAAGAAAGAACCCCTTGAAGAGCTCCCCATTACTACCAGAAATGGTCACTGAAATAGGACAAAAATGTTACAGATAAAGTTTCAGGTTACATGGTTAGCTGCCATATACTATTTGGCCTGCATCCCGCCCCCTCCCCCCTCTCAGTGTTATTTAGGGTACGCGTATGCATGTTCCCTTCCTTTGACACCCCCTCTCAGGGATGCCAACATTTCTGAACCCCCTGTCGCGGGCTTTTTCTGCCTTCGAGACCCCCCTTAATCCGGAACACTGCTCAATGTAACCCCGTATCTATGATATTGAAGATTTTTTATAACCCCCTTTTTAAATTTCTCAGGAATCCAAAGAGAGAGAGAGAAAAAAACACTCCCTTTTTAAAGGGGGGGGGGTGGGGGCGGGGCCTGCATAGATCGGTCCGCTTTTTGAACGCTGCAACACTCGTTTTCGATGGGGAGGGGGGGGGGGGCTCATTGTTAAAACATAATAATTATCCGATGGTTCATGCTTTTGCTCATCATTACTCAAGCCCCGAAATAGATAATTTAACATAATTTATTCGTAATGAAACCAAATTTAATTTAGCAAGTCATAATTTTGTCCTACCTAGCAACAACTTACCTGTGCAATGTTGCATTCTGGGTATTGAAATACATTTATTTGTAATGGGTGAATTAAAATACTCGTATCTAAGCACTTCACAAAGACGTATAGGCCTACATCAAATTTCATTACATTATGAAAATGGCCTGTTATAGCGATGGTCTCTATTCTATGGATAAGCCCATTGAAAAATAAATAATTTTTATGTCGGAAAACCTGAAACTTTCATTTAGTTATGTCTTCTTATTTAATTCTTCTTCTGATGTATTTTTCTCGTTCTCGTTCTCGCTCTCCTTGTTCTTCTTTTACTCTTTCTACTCCTTTTCTCCTTCTTCGCCTTATCTTTCTTCATTACTTCTTAAATTGTGACATGCAAATACAAACGTTATCTGCAATCCAAAGTTCGAGTAAAATTGAAATAATGCCAATCGTGAAATTGATTATGACAATTGTATTTTCTTCGTGAATGACATCTTTCTCAATACCATTGACTGTTGATATTAACCCTGGATCAAAGAACAATGCTTTATCACGCCAGGTTCGAAGTTCATTTTTCCCGTGAAGAAAAACAAATGTGTTAAACTAAAAAATGAAAACATTCACGCTAATTAAATGGCACGTGATTTGAAGCCCTAAAAACATACACATCGGGGTTGAAATCACTTCAATAGCACCATTCTCATATACATGTAGGGGCACCGAAAACCATTGGAATGGGGCTGTTGGACACAAATTCCACTTTCTTAGTGTGATATTTAGCAAATTAATGTTTGAGATTTTTGTTTGTATGAGTTTTTTCTTCTTTCTTTTCATCTACTCCGACTCTCGTTTTATGTGCATGCGGTAGATTGCATTAGATTCCAAACTAGCGTTTGAATTGGCGTCTCTCTCTTAAAAAAGGAAATATTAAATCTACAGCTTGAAACCAAGGCTATAAAACTCGTTATGGTTATTATATGATTGTGTAACGGTTAAAATAACGATGACCTCTTGTATAGGTGAAAGAAAATATTCATATTCTCATTTTCCTATCTTAACTTGGGTAACACACGGCAGTGGGGATGCAGGCGAGTGTGCGGACACTTTCAAAAGCCGTCTCGTTTGTCGTTTTTTTTTGTTTTGTTTACAAAAAGCATGCATCTAGACATTTCCATGAGTGTTCATTTTACTATTCAGAATAAAGTTAATATCTCATTTACAGTTTCTCATCTATTCCTTAACAACATATTGTTCTTCATCATTTTTGTTGTTATATTCATTAAATTATGTTATTCTTGTTTTATATGCTGTATTCATGAACGTTATGTTTAATGAAAATCTTACTTCGGCTCGATATATCAATAATACCAGGCGGAAGATTTCATGCGCAATAGGTGTACTATATAGAATACGACACTTTATTCCTCTAAATATATTGATCAATATCTATAATGCTATCATTCTTCGTCATCTGTCCTACTGTACTTTGATATGGAGACATTGTGCAAAAACTTTACTGAATCATGTTTATGTTTTACATAATTACAAACTCTCACCCGAGAACCCCATCTGAACCACTTTTTAGGAAATTAAATGTACTTACCATATTTTAAATACAAATTATTGCAAGTTGGATCATTTATGTATATGTACAATAATGATATGTTACCTTCTATTTTCGATACTATGTTCAAAATAACAAAGGATGTTCATCCACATTACACAAGACATGCTAATGATTTATATATTCCATTGTTAAAATACCATACTTCACGTAGATCAGTAAAGTATTATGGAGTAATTACTTGGAATACAATACCTACTGATATAAACATGTGCCTATCTCTTGCCTCACTCAAACGAAAATACAATAATGTTTAATTAGCCTGTACTCACTTGTTTATTTACTACCCATTGTTTCTTTTCTCTTTACTTTTTATAATTATCTGAGGACATTGGAACCCAGCCTTTGAAAGGCCCATGGCCTCTGCTGGCTCCTCTATATCCTTTGTATTGTTTATATATTTGCTATTATAATTATATTATATAATGTATTTTTGAATGTATTTTTTTTTACGAGAAATGGAAATAAAATGAATTAAATTTAATTGAGCTCCTGTTCACGGCCTTGCTGAAAAGCAGCTTCTAGCTGAGAGCAGGTTTTACCGTGTTCAGATAAATGCAATACAATGGACATTTGGAATGATGAAATCTTGAGGGAAAACCGATTGATTCTAGATTCATTTTTTTTATCCGACACATAGAAAGTGACAAGAAACAAGGTACATGTGAAAAGAAAGGAAACAATAACACATCGCAAGGGGATCGCCAGAAGACAACAAGTTCTTTAATTGTTTGAATATATGTATTCCCATACCGAAGAATACCACAGTAGGAATACCACGCAAGGCTTGCTCTTGATATATGGCATCATATCCGAAATATGACTAGAAATAGCTTAGATCTTTAATGGACCTTTAGAATAATTTTGTCTCGTCTTTCCATTGATGCCCACAATCAAAGGAGTCGACTATCATGACACGTTGGGGTTTTGACCTAGACCACTTTCATGTTCTGCATTGCCCTTCCATACGATACATATTATTGTACAAGTTTCCACTTTTAAAAATTTCTTTAAAAGATGACAAGTGAAGTATACTTTCTCACTCTAGACACACAAGTGTCAACAGTCGTAACCTCCACTGCATGATGATCAACCAAAAAATTACTTTTTTTTACGAGGGCTCTTTTCATATTTTCCCTTAAAAAAATAGCCCCCCTTCATTATTTTGCGGTGGCTATTTTGGAGCTCAGGTGGGCTTTTTTTTTTTAAGGTTGTATTTTTTAAAAACATGGTTTTACCTACTTAAATTCCAAGCAAAGGCAAATATACATACAGTTGTAACGTACATATGTCATGTAGAGTATTGCAGACATATTCAGATACCCATGATTTATTCACTTTGTGCTAAACGTGTGGCTTAGATCTATACGTACATGTAACTAAAACTTGTCGAAAGGAGAGTTTTGTTCAACTCTTTGTTTTTCATATCGTAAGAAAATATTATCACTGACACGCAGGCCAAGATTTAATTTTTTTATGGGGGCTACTTTACCCCATTGCATAAAAAAAAACCAAGGGGCTACTTTAAGAAAAGTGGGGGCTACTATTGAAAAAAGGGGGCTACTTTCTTAAAGCCAAATTGTAAGCTGTAACGATAAGTTGTGTTTTTCCTTAGCCATCATACTTCTAGCAACCAAATTGGTAGGTAATATGTTATTTAGTTTTTTTTCTGTCCCTAATTGTTAGCATGGACAATGCGATCCCATTTTAAAAAAATGTAACTCCGTTTAAAATTGTGTTATTTATAACTCAAAACCATTAAATGTGAATGAATATTTTTACTGTTGTCCCACATACCGATGTATTTGTTATAACGAAACAAAATCATGGCCATATTTTTTTTTTTCACGTATAGACTTTATTTCTAAAGGCCAAGCCAAAGCTAGTTTAATTTCGTAGACTGAAATTGATGCCATCACTCAGGCATCGCATCAATGACGGGCCTGGCATCGTAAATAAATAATATAATTTAATTTAACAGTTGTAAGAACAATTCAGAGGTATAGGAACATCTATTATAAATTTATTTAAGGTTTTTTTTTATAACAAAATTCAATTTCTGTCTACGAAACTAGCTTTATACCGATTTTATAGGGAAAAAAATCCGGCATTGATTTCAGTTGCACGTTTCGTTATAACAAATATATCCGTATGTGGGACAACAGTAAAAATATACTCGCATTTAATGGTTTTAAGTTATAAATAACACAATTTTAGACGGAGTAACATTTTTTTTAATGGGATTACATTGTCCATGATAAAAATTTGGGTCAGAAAAAAGACAAAATAAACATATTACGTACCAATTTGGTCACTAGCAGTTCAGCACTCGTCACTCGCAATACTTAGTTGGAACGGAGATTTCACTCAGACACATCAATAAATTGATTTACTAATTCCTAAGGAATATCAATTTATGGCGGGGGCGATTTTTCATTATATATCGAATTTTTTTTTCGCCCTCGTCTTGATTTTTACTGTGGCGATTTCAGAGGTTTAGAGGGCGAATCGCACGTCGCCACCGTGTATTTTTTTCGTAATATCTGACTGGGTCTATGATCTGAGAGGCTATTCAAGTCTTTCAAAATGATGACCCTCTCAACTCAGTTAGATAATGGTATCTTTGGAAAACAAAAAATATACAATACATTTGACCTTTCTCTGCCTCCAGCTGAAATTAAAACAACGAATTGTATTACCTCTAAGGCTCTTCCCGGGATGATATTGATCATCTTCAGTATGGAAAATAAAGGGATTCGATGCCGCTGGCTGAGGGGCATAAAACTCGGTGTAGTTACTAGACCTGGAGCGGTGTATGGCATTCCCGTGTGGGCAGGTCGACTTCGG